TCAACGACGATCCAGATTGCCTCAAAAAGGTAACTAACAACTGGTGACGAATCATGGGTGTACGGCTATGACATTGAAACCAAAGCCCAATCATCCCAATGGAAGCGTCCAGAAAAGCCAAGACCGAAAAAAGCACGTCAAGTTCGGTCAAATGTGAAGATTTTGCTCACTGTTTTCTTCGACTGCAATGGCGTGGTGCATCATAAATTCTTGCCACAAGGTCGTACGGTCAATAAAGAATACTACCTTGAAGTTATGCGCCGTTTGCGCGAAGCAATTCGTCAGAAACGCACAGAATTGTGGAAAAACAATCATGGATTTTGCACCATGATAAGGCAGCAGCTCACACATCGATGCTTGTGCGTGAGTTTTTGGCCAAAAACAGAACCGTTATCATGCCTCAACCACCGTATTCACCGGACTTGGCCCCCGCTGACTTTTTCCTCTTCCCAAAACTGAATACACCGATGAAAGGAAAGCGTTTTGCTACGATTGAGGAGATAAAAGAAAAATCGAAACAGGAGCTGTTGGCGATACCAAAAAGCGAGTTTCAGAAGTGTTTCGAGGATTGGAAAAAACGCTGGCATAAGTGTATTATATCTGAGGGGGATTACTTTGAAGGGGACTAGATAGTTATTGATGAATAAATAAATACTTTTTGAAAAAAATTGAAAATAATGGTTATTTTTTGATCAGACCTCGTATGTCTAACATTTATAAGTTCGCCACAAATTCGTCGCAAATTTCATGTCCATGGTTCTGATCAAAGAAACGAAAAAACAACTTTTTGGTAAAAGCACTTCTGGCGGCGAGAAATTCGCCATTAAAACTACCTGTGCAATGAATGTCCGAACTATTTTTGCCTCCTCTGTCGATTGGTGCATTTATTTTTACTATCGGAATGATACTTGCTCAGATAATTAGCATTTTTACCATGGAAAATTCCGACAAACCCGGTTTTTTTCTAATTTAAAAAAAATTGAACAACAGCTACATCTTTTTTTGCTTTTTTTCGGAAAGATCACATCAAAATACATAAGTTCCACTTTGTTTCATCCAATTACAAATTAATGTAAGCTCGAAGGGGCTTTTTTTCGTTATTTAATTGGACTACTAGGGTAAATGGATAAATATAAATCAATCGTAGTTATGGCTACTCACCTCCATTGATGTATGGCCATGCACTTCATCGTTATAAATATACGTTGTATGAAAAACGGCCTTTCTGTTAAACAGATGATCATAATCGTCGTCTGTGGAAAACTCAGCAAACTGATTACAAGACGCACTTCGGTACCTCATGTTTATTTGTAGAAAATACTTTTCTAACTAAAATCGCGAACTAGAAAATTTGACTTACGTATGCATTATTTTTGATAAATAATAAATAAAATATCTTAAAGAACTTAAACCAACAGTTCAGCACTTAACTACGTATGTTTAGCATTACTAAAACATAATATTTTATTATTCTTATAGTTACTCAAGGATATTAAAACTCAACTTGTCAGCAAAAATGTGTACTAGGTATATGTCTTTAAAACAAACTTTATTTAAGTAGGTAGGTATCTGATGGCAGAACTATGTGACAAAAACACCTTCAAAAAAGCTTATTATGATGGTTTTTTTGTTTCTTCTAAAGCGTACGTTTCAAAATACGCTGTGGCTAATGGTCCGTGAACGGATATGTAGAATAAGAAATGTAAAAATGTATAGTCATGTATAGGGTGTATTTTAAGTAGGTTTAGATATCTCAAGTAGTAATTATGAGCTATACAGTTCATATAATGGAATAGAATGACCAATTTCAACCAAAAATAATCCCAAAAATGAGATTCTTGACCTGTCAATCTCTCTCATTTTCTTTATTTTCTATCAAGTATTCTTAAACTTTCTATGCCTTCAAATCTTCAAACTCTACCCTTGCTTACTTTCCTTACCTTTCAGATATACCTCCTACACATTATAATCATCCAAATTACGCCCTTAGTTTTCCTATTTTTTAAATAATAGGTATAGGTATACATACTTACGTCATTTTATAATAAAAATAATATCGAATATGAATACAAATGAATTGAAAAAATCTGCCCATGTCTCTACTGTAAAACTATTAAACAGATAAACCTTCATATCATAACAACGAAAGAAATGGAAGTAGGTACCTAGGTACAAATAAAATGTTAATTATAAGTTTGAAGTAAAAAAAGCCTCCGCTCATAGGCTACTACACTGGTGATAAAAGGGGTGAAGATGTCTAAAAAAGAAATAAACTGTACTTACTAGTAGTTGCAACACGTTAATAATATCATCAGCATACTTATTTAAAAGGAAAATAATCGTTAGCACACCAACAATCGTTTGCTGTTCATTATTTGTAACAGTGTTGTTTGGATTATTCATATCTTTTGATGTAAACAACACAGATTTTAAAACACCGGCAAACACGTGTTATATGAACTAAAAAATCGACAGTTTGTTACTAACTAGTAACATACTTAAATTGTATTTGATTTTGGTTGCACTAATAAAATCAATTGCTGTCTGTCTTAAGGCATTAATTACTTGAATTTTAATAATAATCACCATCTTTTCACAATTTATCACAAAACTTATCTGAGGATTTACATCCTATTTCACTACTTTTAGTTTAAATTTATCAATCTTATCATATCGGTTTAAGTAAAAAGGAAACGGAAATTACTTATCAAGTAGATGTAGATTAGGTTATTAGGCATTTAAAGGAGCTGTCAAAATGCTCCTCGTGAAAACTGACATTTTAGATAGGAAGTGACTATTCATCCGGGAGTACTGGATAAAAAGCTCCATTACTAATTGTCCGAAACCATTTTCCAAAACTGACGGGACTTCGGACATTTGAGAATCTACATCGGATGCATCTGAGATATTGTGAATTTTTTATCACGTGATAGAGAATTAGATCTAAATGTCTACTTTAAAATCTAGACTTTATTGGTCACGTGATAAAATGTCAATGAGAAGTTAGAAGTTTATACTTTTTAAATTTGACTTTTGAGACTACAAATCAACCTAAATTTGAAATCTAAACAAAAATTAAACAAACTAATCACTTTTATATTTATGCTAGCTTAAACAAAGGATAAATTGACAAACTTGGCTTCACAGAACACTTACTTTTTGGCATGGAACGACATCTCACTCATATTTCATTTTAAATCGAGATGTAAAAAATGTAATCTGAATAAATACATCTGGGATAAACAAACGCAGATGTAGATGTAGTAGATGTGTTTGATGGGATAAAAAAACGATCGAGATGTAAAAAATGCATCGGATGTGGATTTTCAAACGCGGCAAATGTACACGATTGCCGCGTTTGAATATCCACATCGGATGCATCTGAGATGTGAATTTTTTATCACGTGATAGAGAATTAGATCTGAATGTAGATGTAATAAACAAACGCTTTAGTCACGTGTTAAAATGATAATGACAAGTTTGAAGTTTATATTCTTTAAATTTGACTTTTGAGACAGGAAATCAATCTAAATTTATATTCTAAACAAAAATTAGACACACTAATCACTTTTATATTCAAGTTAGCATAAATAAGGGATAAATCAATAATCTTGGCTTCACAGAAAACCTACTTTCTGGCATGGAACGAACATCTCTTTCTCATCTCATTTGAAATCGAGATATGAAAAACTTAATCTGGACAGCTACATCTGGGATAAACAAACGCAGATGTAGATATAATAGAAGTGTCCGATGTGGATTTAAGTACTTTTTTTCTAAAGTAATTTGGAATTGTAATTGCAACAAAATTTGTGGAGGATTTGTACTTCGTAATTATATTATTTAAATTATTAGATTTTCTAATTATAATTACTTTTAAATAAGTATTTACGATATGCACGTGGTATAAAAACAAGACATTTCCTGTTCAAACTTGTCACTAGAGCTCGGACTCGCATCCATCTCATTTGTTTTAATTTGAATGCATTTGACGAAAGCGCTGTGCCGTGGAAAAAGACTCAGTGAAGTAGTGGAAAGAGCCTTAGCGAAGTAGTGAAATTGTTGTACCCAAAATAATTACAGTAAGAGGTAAGTAGATGTAGATACCCTTCTTTTTAAGACGGATTTTGTATTTATAGTATTAAAAACATAATTTATGTTACATATTTTAGTGACGGAAATCTTTATCCGGAACTCGCGGATGATTAGTCACTTCCTTTTAGATATGGCAAACTTGTAGGCCTGTTGTCGACAGGGACAATGATTCATAGTTATATAGATTGCTCAAAGCGGGTCGTTCTGTGAGCGCCTATATTGCCTGGCAATTCTTCATTAATTAGAATCGATTTAGCAAAAATTTAATACCAATTTCCAGCCTTTGAATATATTAAAAAATTTAATTACCTACATTTTTACTTTAAGGCATTATATTTATTTTCAAAAACAGCGATCATCAATCTATATAACTATGTATATCATTGACCCCTGTCAAATCACCAGGCCCACAGTGTTGCCATATCATATATCCTAGCAAAATTCAATTTTCAGTTAGAAAAGAAAACAAACTACCTTGCTCCTGGCTCCTTCTTCCGCCTTGAAACCACAACTCACAGAACAAAACACTTACACTTCACTTTATTTGTTTCTTTTCTACTAATCTTCACGTCTTCCGTCTTCGTTCTTCACTTTTCACAAAACGGTCAACACTACTCAATAATACACAACACAACAGATCAGTGGTCAACATGACTTTTCTTTAAATGTGATTTGTTCAGCGGTTTTTGTCTTTATTTATTTCTCATGCCGATATTCTATTACTCTCTTACTTCCTGTTGCGAAATCTGACAAGTCTGGTAACAAATTGAAAGTGATTACTTTTACGAAGGTCGGGAATAATTAAACTAGAATATTGTTTTTCCTATTACATAGGTATATATGGAAGTATTTGGAAGCCTAAACAGAGTTGAGTAACCAAAAGAGGCATTAAATAATTATTAAAATTAATTAAAAAATAATGTATTTCGAAATTTTCGTACCTACCTAGGTATATACAATAAAATAAATTATTTGGAATTCAAAAACAGTCTTTTCTATACAATATCTCTTAAATCACTTTTATCACCTTTTCTGTTTATTTTTATCAACAGCTTCGTTTATTTTCGCTAGATTATCATCAGATAATTTGGGAAGCTCTAACTGAGGAAGCTGCGGCTTGTAGCCGATTCCAAAAGGCCTCAGATGGTATATGAGGTACTCCATGGCGTACATCATTCTGGGATCTATGTAGTGGAAAGATATTGCGTTGTCTGAGCAACAATCCATTCCCTGAAAGAATAATAAATTTGTATTAAACGGTAATGATAAGGATGAACAAAATTGTAAGGTCTGGGAATAATGGGGTCAATGTAAAAACAAATATGGCTAAAATTTCCAAAAAAGAAATCAATTAACATTTGTTTAGTAAGCATAATATGCTCAAAACTTCAGTAGATTTCAGTAGATCTAGTTTATACTATTCAACAAGCTGAGGGTCCGACGCCGCTGACTGCATTTTCTTTGTCTATTGAGTCTATTTCTACCTGTCACCTTCTTCAGGTCTAAAGTAGAAAATAATTTCCGATTCTGGTCTCTTTACAAGGGATGGGGTGGGTGGCTCAGTGGTAGAGTCTCTGCCTGTGGATCCAAGGGTCCCAGGTTCGAATCCCACTGTTGGCCGGGATTTTTTATATAATTTATTTATTTAAAATTAATTCTGATGCCTTGGTAGGATTCCCCACTCGACCATTCACTGTTGGGTTCTAGAACAGAAGTAAAAGTTGGAAATGCTTTTGCCAGTTCTCCCACTTTATACACATAAATTGACAGGTTGGCACCGGATCTCACCGAAGTGGACGCGATACATTGGCGTACAAAATTATTTTATAGATGTTAATAACAATTTCGAGTAAATAGTTTAATAAATTGTGAATAGCTGCTGAAATTTTGTAAAATTATAATTTGAATATTATAATACATGTCTAATAATTATTTATAATCCATAAATACATGCGATTGTCTGGTTCCGCCGATAACAATTCAAAATTACTTATTCTATGAAACGACACTGGCAGGTAAACATTACTGTGAAATTCTCGGAGCCGCCCGACGTGGTTTGACGTTTACCCCCTCTCTACCTGCCAAAAGACTTTTCAACTTTTACTTTCTCTATAATTAACAGTGTTGTTCCTAAAGTGGAGCTGGGAAACAGTAACAAAGCCTACACAGAACACGAGGTTAATGACCTTAGTAGTCGATGCCGATGACATCAAATTAAAAAAATTAATAAATAAAAACAAGGAGCTTTTATGGATATCAAGTTTATTAATTTGTTTTCTCAAAAGAATTTAAAATTCTCAATTGTCAATGTTCAGTCATTTTTAAGAAATCCCATCTGTGAAAAATCGACATTACATCAGTCTGTCATTTATTGGTCACGTGATCTGTCAACAGTACAACATTTGATGGAATATTAGAAAATGCCCAAATTGGTACTTGTTGTTTTAAGATGTTTGTCTCTTGTTACTTTGTCATTTGTCACTGGTCACTATCGAGATCAATATACTAACCTGCGTTTCATTATAAAAAATGTAACTCCAATACCAAAAACTTTTATCTACGTGCCCAGGAATCAAATGATGGGTGGGAGAGAACGGGAAGAACCTTCCTCGTGCTTCTGGATCTCGGGAATCCCCTGCCAAAACGTTGACGTTGGCTAAACATTTGCCTATTTCTACGTCTTCAGCGCCTGCGTGGTCCTGCCTGCAGAGCTTTTTGTTCGGCATGGCGTCCTTCAAAAAATAAACAAATTTAAAATGGTACATTAACTTTTTTATAATTTCTACTCACTTCCACAAATCTTCTTAAAGCTTCCTTACTAAGGACGTACCCCGCACCACCACTCATGTATCCTTGTGTCACGTAAGGCTTGAACTTACATCCGAAGTAGATAGGATCATTGGGGTCGGTTGGATATAACATATAACGGAGATTTTCCAAAATTACATACCTGAAAATAGACATTTTTTTCAAAAATAACTTTGTTATCCATAGTATGATTTTGGCGTGTAGCAGTATTACTATGCAAATTACTTTTATTAGTATAATTTCTCTTGTAAATAAAATAATTTTATGAACACTGACAATTGTAGAGTAATGGACATAGCTCTCAGGTAGTGAAGTAGAGGATTCTTTGAGATATCTAAAGATCTTGGACAAATATGATGTCTAGACAATATCTCAACCGAATTCGATAGATTATGGAGTGTAGGGGTAAAGAGAACTATCTTTGTTTACAAAAAGTGTCCTTCAAAATGTATAAAATTTAGATGGCATTAAAGCCGATTCTCACTGTAGTTCTGGTCACGCTCCGCTCACGCTCCATTCAAGGAGCGATGCAATATTGTGGGCAGTCTTCCACATACTTTGATTTTCTCTTACTATACGGAGAATGGTCGCACTGCGCAGCTTTTTGAGTGCCTTTTAAAAGGAGATAGAACACTCCGCCATTTTGATCCCTTATTACGTGTTACCTACATCTTGGCGCAATATTTTTAATAGGTGCGTTTTAATCATTCGCTTCTGCTTCGGAATTGTCGGTTTTCTTGTTTTAATCTGACAGATTAAAACGACTAAACCGACAATTCCGGAAGCAGAAGCGGATGATTAAAACGCACCTGGTATTTTGCTTGCTGCTGTCAGTATCAGTGAATATTATTTTTGGAGTCACAGTTTATTGCTAAAGAATCAGCTCACTCGGACCAGTTGAAAGTTCCAAAATAACATCCACTCCAGGTATACAAATTTAGGATACGCAGAAGACTGCTGTTTTATTATAGGCGGTTGTCATATTATTATCCGAGTTGCGCAGTGTACAAACTGGAATATTGAGATCAAAGTGCCGACGCAGAGTGAGCGATCTGATTCTTTAGCTATAAACTGTGTCATAGGGTTCAAAATGGCCGCGCCCTATGTTGGGCGTGTCGGACCTCTCTCTTGCCCCGTGCCTGGCTTTGACAGAATCAATAATATATCGTCATACTGCTTCGCAAATGATCATTAATCGGAATCGATTTTGCAAAAATGTGTTTTAATACCATGTCACTCTTTGAATAAAGTAAAAAATAATTACCTACATTTTTACTTCAAGGCATCATCTTATGTAAGGTATTTAAAAAAATATGATCAATCAATCAATCACCGGGCAACCCATCGGCATCCATTTTGTTTTGAATACATTCTTTACTCTTTATACCTAAAAACCTACCTTCGGAAATTTATATTATGTATTTTTTTTATGATATTTATATGTAATTGTAATGGATAAATAATTATACAATAGTTGTAGATAAAATTACTTACGTGTCGTCGTCAGCTTTCATGAACCAATCAGCGTCATCGAAATAATGATCGTAGACATATTTGAAGGATTCTTTAGTCTTAGCCCATAGATTGTCCCTGCCCTCTTTCACTTTCAGAGCTATAGCTGGCAAGCTTTTATCTAATAAAAGAGGCATTAAACGATAAAAAATATTGAGTGACATTCTAAATAGATTTTTATCCTTGAAAGTAGAAAATAGAGGGGACGAGTAACTCGTGTTTCAGAAATATTGATAGGCCGCCATGTTTTTGGTGCCGCAGAAAGCATTGTGTAATTTGTGTATTTTTAGCTTCTCTTGTGAAAACTTAATGAAAGACCGTGTTATTATTCATTTTAGGAAAAAAGTTATTACACATTAAAAATAAAAAGTTGTGCATGGTCTAAAACCTAAAAACAACCAACTGATATCAAATTTAATCAGTCGTATACGAGTTTTGTCAAAAAAAACTAAAGTCTATTCAAATTTAATTTACGCCTGATGTAAACAGAAGCAGGTGGATGCTAAAATTGAGCAGGGCCGCATTTTACTTCTCCGTCTTGCAAAAATTAAAATAAAAGAGTGTAATTGTGAAATTATTTTTTTAATACGATAAAAACATATTTTGTAAACTAAAACTATAAAATAAATGCCATACACGGTCTCCCAGACTTTAGTGACATTTCTGGACGAAGATAGGTGAGCTACATAAACTGCGTTAACCTGCAATACAAATTAATAAATGTATTTGACTTTAAAAGAGATGTTTGCATTATATTTAGTTCATTACATATGTCTACTGTGATACAGAGCATTAAAACAATCATATTACAAAATTATATTATACAGGGTGTCCAAATAATTGCAAATTCTTTAATAGCTAATATATATCTACTAAAAGCATTAAAAAAACTTTAAATGTAAGAGGTATTTGGTATTTGAATTTGGTATTTGATTTAAAATTGTGCATCTTAAAAAGAAACCTTTTGTATTTTTGACAACTTTTGTTCTTTATTGTTCTTGTTCTACTAGTATTTAGATTAGACACCTTTTGTACCCTGTATTATAGCAATCTTCTTTACTTGACTTAGCACTATTCTGAATCGGACAAATTAGTTAGACTTGAAGGGCTATCTTCATTAATCAAAATTACAAGTGGTTTTACCTGAACCTCTATAATATTATCCAACTCCCACATTTTTACTTCAACTTTTTGGCGAACATGGTCGATACACTTTTTCCATTTTTCTGGAGAAATTAATAATATTACTTCTTCAAAAAGAATTTTAATGTCTCCAGATTTAAATGTTGAGTTTTTATCTGCTACGTATTGTTAACGTCAACCTAGATTATGTTGTCATTCAATATTATGTTGTTTTGCTGCTTAGCCATTTCATCTGTTACATACCTATCATAATGTTTATGTTGCTTACCAAGTTTTAGAAGTTGGATCTTAAGCATTTGGTAGTCGAATTCAATTTTTTTCCCTTATAGCCATTTTTAAATATCACCTTTTTTAGACGTCGTTGTAGGTATTTTTCCAGCTTTCTCGAATAATAATGCAGTTATCTTCTAATTTTGGTAGGGTGTTTGAAAACCACTCTTTGAACGATTCTCCACACATTTCTTCATGGTAGTCACCGGATTTTTCAACTTAAATACATAAAGTGCATTAGAGACAAAGCCTTCTTCACTTCCAATATGGCATATAATGAGCTGTTTTTACGCACATACCTGATGGGTTTTTAAAACCAGTTAAAAGTTCATCCAAAAAGGCTTGTCTGGATGATAAAATCGACATATCGAAACATACTTTTGATTTGGTGTGGCCTGCGTTAATCCAAGTCTCATCAAGATTTTTTGCTTTTCTTCTCTGTACCGTTTTATTTATTGTGGCGTAGGACGAAACAATTTCATTTTGTCTAAAAGCAAACTATAGTTTCCTCGAGTTTTAAATTTAAAATTAAGGGTTTTGAAAAGCTTGTAAAATGTAGCTCGCTTAAAAGTAGACAAATATGGATCATCGTTGACTTCTTATAAAACCTTATCGATTGTTGGAAGTTAATTTCTAAAGAAGAATTGATGTACTTTGCACCTTATTGCATTTTTATCAAAATCATCCACAGAGCCTTTTTGGTTCAGAAAATTTATGAATCTGCCTATACTCCTTCATAACATTAAAAACGGTTTGAGCGCACCTCCCTGTTTTATCAGCAACTCTACTTTCAACATCATGTATCAACGTATCAGGGTTCTATAAAATTTAATGCTTATAAATATTAAGAACCATTTCTTTAGTACGGATGACCAAATGTCCTTTTTTCGGTCGCTTTTTAGAAGGAGTAAAAACATTTTTCTGCTTCATCTGCTGTATCTGTGGAGGACATAGTGTCACGCAGCAGTTACAAAATATAGTCAATTAAATGTCCTTAAAATAGAGTAAAAAATGTTCAAACTAACAACAACCACAAAAACAAAAAAACAAAAATAACACAATATATGTATATCTAAACTATAATATAATGAATTATCAATCAAACATACAAAATGTCCAAACTAACCAACACGGTGAATACTACCAAAACGCCGTTTATAATTATCCAAATTGAACTGAATTCGACTCTGACAAAAAATATTTGCACGTCGTCTAAATGACTAACGACCGATTAACCAATAGAAGCGCAAAAAAAATGTCACGTGAGCTGTTGCTGGATGGGAGAGATTGTTTTGACGCGGCGTAAATGAAATCTGAATAGACTTTAGTTTCTCGAGTAAAATCATATTTTTTGATAAACCTCGTATACGACTGATAAAATTTGATATTAGATGGTTGTATTTTAGATTTTAGACCATGCACAACTTTTTATGAAGAATACCTTTTCGTAAAAACGTAATATTATTATTTTCTGACTGTAATGTTGTCTGTAAATGTATAGGATTTTTAACATGGTTGGAAATAAAGGATATAGAATTTTTTTTAATAAATTAATTATACAGGGTGGCTCACGCTCAACGGGACGGAGCTTTATGGGAAAACGACCAAAGATATAACAAATTCGTTTGGGAGGAATACGTAGGTTACAGACGGCTACAATTTAAAATTTGTTAGATGTATACAGGATGTCCCACATAAGAGAAAATATACAAAGTTATATTATTTTTATTGGAACACCCTGTTTTTTATTTTAGAATTAAAAACTACATCAAAAATAATGTCAGTTAACTAAAGGTTCCCTATTACTATTATTATTAGTTTTCGATTTATTTGAATTTTTAAGGAAAAAAAGTCTCCCAGAAATTAATTGTTTACTCTTGTTTGAATAATTTTTAATGAACTAATTTTTTTTTCATTTATGTGGGACATCCTGTATACATCTAACAAATTTTAAATTGTAGCCGTCTGTAACCTACGTATTCCTCCCAAACGAATTTTTTATATCTTTGGTCGTTTTCCCATAAAGCTCCGTGCCGTTGAGCGTGAGCCACCCTGTATAAAAACATATTATCAAACATTTATTATATCTTTCTCAAGCATATGCAGGGGCTGGTAACTCAAATGGAAAAACATGAGGACGGTAATTTAGTACCACTCCAATTAACGGGATGGCGCTCGTATCGAAATGTCATGTTAGTTGTCAGCTTGTCAACAAAACTTCAAACTTGAAAAAAGTAAAATGGCTGTTGCATTTGAAGGTGTATTGGATTTTGATTCATCTAGATTTATTTTTCAACACCTCCAATTTTAAGCATGTTTTCATGAGATGGGAACATGGATTTAAGCAACGAACAATGAAGCACTCCCAGATATTGGTAGTGATGCAATTTATACCACGTATTAAATATGAGGTCGGCATATTAAGGATAACCAAATAATTTGTAATAAGTGTCTTAAGAAAAATGCATCTTGTACTGGCATCAATGGTAAGTACTATTTACAAACTTGTTTTTGATTCAGTGTTAAAATAATTGGTTTGTTATTTAAATTTATTTTTGTTTTCAGTTTTTAAATGATCATTGTTGTAAAAAAAATGTTGGCCCTCCAAAATACCCTGTCGATTGATGAAATATTTGAGCCTCAGCCATCAATATCAAAAACTAATTCAATGCCATTGACATCAAACAAGAAAACGCCCTAAAATCTTCAAGGGTCCAAATGTGTGTAAGTTTAAATTATGCTCAAAAGTTAAATTCATTTATCACAGTGCCCACATGATGAATAAAAATTTGATAACTACAAGTGCTGTATAAATGAATCAAGAAAACAATTATCGGATGAAGAAATGCTCCTCAACCTAACTAGTCGACTCGATAACCATATGGCAAATTTTATCCACACTCAAATTTGCCTCTATTGTAAAAAAGGATGATGCTTCAACTTCAATTTTTTCAAACTTATTTGCCACTCCAAGTCGCAAAACTTTTATAAAGGTCTTGAGCACTTATATATGCTGATTTTGTTACAGAAAACATTTTTGATAGGTTTGTGTTATAAATATTTAATTATTTAAATGGTGTAAATGCATATTTGTTTAGAGTATTTCCATGTTTAAATAAACAAATTATATGATGCGGCGTTAATTTACTGTAACAAAAAAATAAAATAGATTGCATTTTATTTCAAGTTTGAAATTAATGCAAAAATATAATGAAGTAAAATCAAATAAAGATATAAATTGGCAAAATACTTGACTAGTTTCAAATCACAAAACAGTCAATATGGTTGTTTTATGATTTGAAACTAGTCAAATATTTTTACAATTTTTTTGCTTTATTTGATTTTCTTCATTACATTTTTGCGCTACTACAAAGTTAAATTTCAAAAAGCCCGCTCGTGGCAGCCATATTGAATTTTAGTACCACTCCAATTTGATAGATGGCAGCACATCGACTCAGAATTTTACCATTGAGTTTCCCATCTATTCACATTAGTAATCTATGAGCCTTGATATAAAATTACGGTACCATAAAGAAATGAAATTTTGCCTATAATGATGCCAATTTGTAAATGTCGTTTAGATAGATATTAAAAAGGACAGAACCTAAGACAGATGTTCCTCTAAATCTTAGATCCTCGATGCGATCTATCAACATTATATAACCGACAGTATTGAAGGCCTTGGCCAGATCCAAAAATAAACAGCACAACTTTATTATCATCTAATATAAACTTATATAAATATTTTTTGTTAAATATTACATTATAGTATCATCAGTCTTTAATACCGGAAGTGTCTTTCAGAAATCAGATTATATTTATTAAAAAAGAGATAGTAATTATTATCTTTAATATTTTTTCTACTAATTTAGTTATATTTGAAAGGAGTGATATTGGTCTATAATTAGACATAAGATTAGTGTTTCCTTAATGGTTTTATTAGACCCTTTTTTAAATATCCAGTTATTTTATTTATGATATATATACTAATGGAGTTTTATTTGAGGTACAGTTAGTTTTAAAATATATGGAGTTAATTTGTCGAAACCAGGTGCCTTGTTTTTTTTTATAAAGTATTCAACTTCTACCTTATTTATTAGCTAAAGACATACGGTGTAGGCTTTCGAACGCTTTCCAATACGCTTTGCTAATGTTCAAGTGAAAACTACAGGGAGCATTAGCCGAGGAGGAAACGAATAATATCAACGTAGCCAGCCGGCCGCCTAGGGATATTTATCGCTGTGTGCTTATTCACATTACACAGCGCATACAGAAACGTTGATTTTATTCGTTTACTGTTCGCACGAATGCTACCTCTTTGTTGTTTTCACTTCGACATTAGCAAAACGTATTGGAAAGTGTTCAATAGACGATAATGTATAGATCTTTAATTTTTATGATTTTTTAAATCATATTCATCGGTTTTTGTTATTTTATTTGACAAAATTTTGCCCAAATTGGTAAATTAGTTGCTAAAATGATCTGCAATTTTCCTTTTATCTCTTTTCTTCAACTTCTATTTCACTTATCATGTTATTTTTACGTATTCTGTCTGAATCCGGAATATTGCCCACATATTCTGGGACCTCCTATATAACTTTTGGGGAGGAAGGTAAGATAAGCTTTATTAAAAATTTCCAACCATATCGGAAAGATTTTTGAAGTAACAAATAGCCTATTTGTACCATCAAAACGGTTACGGCCTACGGGTCACCACGTGTCAGGGATTAAGACAATTTAACATTTTTTTAATCCCTTTGAATAGCCCAAACATTCGTTTATTGCTCTCTTAAGATAGTAAAAATAGTAGTGTAATAAAATGAATATTAAGGCGAACTTACCTTCTTGTGAACTCATGAATAAAAGTATGTTACATCTTTTGCCCCACGTAGCTTTGACGTGTTTGGCTTTAGTCTCATGGTTCGCTGGTCCTGTCATTACCCAACAGAGTATTCTAACCTTTCTATACAACGCATCTGCGACGCTGGTGTCGGTCATTCTATGGAAAGTGTCATTTTCGCTAAAAGAAAAAAAATGCTTAGGTAGGTAGATGAATTGATTTTCAGGAAATTAGTCATAGATAATAATGTTCTAAGAATGCTATTTTAGACTTTCTTATTATTCTATTATCATAAAAAAAATTATATCTCGTAATCGTGATATACAGGGAGTTTCATTAGTGTGGGTTGATATTTTAACTGGAAAATTTTGATCTTAAATAGGTTTGTTGGCAAATATGACTCCTAGGTCCTAGGTCATTTAACTCAAAGTTTAAATCACTTGAAAAATGTAGATACAGCGCTTATTTAAAAATTAAGGCGGTGTCTAGCCTACCAATAGCTCTTGAAAAATCAGTAAAAATTACAGTTACCCAAGACAAATCATCTAGTGCGTTGGTGGTGGTAATAAACTGAGTTACAGAAGCCAAATTACTAACAGTGAATCTACTATTGTCAAAGCCACGCTGAGACAATTTGAGATTTTACCATTTCAAATAGGTACCTTAGTGAATTTACATAATATGACCATTGGTCTATAGTTTTCTACATTATTTTTGTTACCTTTCTTAAATATGTATAGAATATATTTTGGCATGTTTCCAAGAATGAGAAAAAGGGAAATATATTGACTGTAATGATTGATTATAATGATTAATCGTAATGATAGATTCTAATGATTGATTGTAATGAGTGATTGTAATGATTGATTTTAATAATTGATGTAATTAATAATTGTAATGATTTATTGAAATTATTGATTTTAATGTTTGATTGTAATGATTGATTGTAATGACTGATTATAATGATTGATTGTAATGATTGATTGTAATGATTGAATGTTATTATTGATTGTAATGATTTATTGAAATGATTGATAGTAATGTTTGATTGTAATGATTGATTGTAATGACAGTTTGTAATGATTGATTGTAATGATTAATTATAAAGAATAATTGTTGTGATTGATTGTAATGATTTTACTTATTGTATTGTACAGTTACCTGTGGTCTCCAACAACAGCGTTGGGCCCCTCCAGACCATCCATGTCTTCCTCGTTGTGGAAATCATGGTGCTCGTGCATATGCCCGTGGGAATTGATCTGAAACTCATCTTCGTTGTGGAGATTTCTGGGATGATCGCGGTAGTATTGCAAACTCGGTTTGTAAACGGTGCTCGGAGCCAGTACTAAGAAAGCGAAGGTGAAGCCCACCACTATCCCCGTTATAAGGGAGAATGTTGTTTGGTTCTGAAAGTAAAATAGTAGTTTGAGCACGTCTCCGTAGACCACGAAAAAATGTAGAAATTCTTATATTATAAAAAAGTAGACCAATTCGTTAACAATAGATTTCTTAAGACAGTGTAAGAAACCTCGTAAACGTATACGTGAAAATTGACATTTACGCATGCGTATTTAAATATCCTTCACGTTCACCTCTACGTACATGCGTAAGCTTACGGACTCTGGCGTATGTACGCATCGCAAACAAAATAACCTCTTTTTAATTGGAAATGAAGAAATCCTTATAATAATTGTCATTATATGTCATGACACGCATGGGCGTCGTTACACAATTCTATAGGGGGGGGGGGCAAAATTTTGAAAAAATGTAGAATGTTTATTAGTTGAAAAACAGAGAAATTGAAAACTAAAAGAGCAATACAAATTAACAAAAGTTTTTAATAAATAAAATAACCCAAAAAAAAAGACAAAAACTAAAATAAAAAAAAACAAGAAACTTAAAACACATATTTCTAAAAAACAAATAGAAGGTGTAAGATAAAAGAAAAATATGAACAAGGAGACAAAGCCATACATAATATATGAAAAAAATTAAATATTTATAGAAACACAAAAACCAAAAAAGCTCACTCAAACACGTCGACGCTAGTGTTCGTAAATTTTTAATTTCTTCTTCCTCTACCTAAAATAATCGATAACAGAAAACATGATTTCTTTTTAGTTTTTTGCGATTATTTTTGGATGTACGTTTATCATGCAAAGCGCAGTCAGCCTATTTTCATTCATTATTCGCTCTGTGCGTGACAGCAGCGCCAACTAATTTATGAACTAACGGACGATATTTGCGTATACTGACAATACAATTTTTAATGGAATTAAAAAATATATATGTTGATTTAATAAAAGTAAAACGAGACATTATTTCAGATCATACGGAAGACCATGTGAATTTATTTGCATGGTTCTCTATAGGATTTGATGGATGCCATATTAGCAGAAATTTAATTTCTGTTGATATGACATCAAGATTATTAAAATAAAATCACCATGCATTACCGTTTTCGATGATGGTAGGTAGGGTTTTTCGGGTTTTCCTCACCTGTAAGTCAAATGTTACCATTAATCATCTTTAAGTCGTCCCGGAGCGCCACAGCAAATAATAATAATAATAGCCGTCCCTTTCCCCGCACAAGCTCAGATTTTGGAGTTAAAATTCACTCATAAGGGGGTGAATTAGGGAGAGAATTATTATTATTATTATAAGATTATATATTTACGAGAAAATGTATATGTTGCCTAGGCCTAATAAGTTAACATTGAAGAAAAGGTTAAATAATGTGAAAACAAAAACATTACCATTATATAATAACGTAGTCTCAAAACGTATTAACAAAAATAATTGGCAAATTTGCGATTGTAATTCATATTTTCTTTATTTTTAGTTTGAAAGAACCCATAGAAATTAATAAATAAAATTGGTTTCCTATCAATAAGTCACAAGATTGCATTTCAGCCACATACAATAATCAAGGGCAGAAATCTAGTCCTTGCTAAACATTTAAGAGTTAAAGGATGTTGAACTACATTGTAAAATAATAATTTATTGTTTATTTAAAACCTTTCAATTTTCTGATGTCTACTATTTCCAGTATTACTGTTATTATTACAAAAATAAAGGTTTTTTCTTCTTATTGTACAGCTATCCATTTATTTCTTTGATTTAATTTTCATTTTGCTACTAAAAATTTATATAATTTACACTGTTTTTCTGCTAGTATTTTTACAATTTACAACACAGCAATTGTTATTGCTTTATCGCCTTGGACAAATTTCGCTTGTGTTTGATTTTGTAGGTTGTATTGTGTTTTTTCGTGGTTTTTAGTAGCATTGCTGCATTTAGTTATTGTCAAGTCAATTAGTGTCAAAGTCATAATAAATACATCTTTTAATTTTCTTCTCTCATTTACAAAGAATATTTTATTTCTGTGCTAATTTCACGTAATAATACGTCAATGCGCGTGCGCCCTTTACTTAATTTAGTACTAAAAATTGGTAACGTTGCAAAAGGAAAAAAATATTTTTAGTTCTAAATTTAGTACTAAATTAATAACTTGATTTAGGGCTAAATTTTAGTACTTAATTTAGTATTGTGACATACAGCCATTACGCGTTGTATAGTCGTAAAAGCCGGGGGGGGGGGGGGGGCAACTGCCCCCCAAACGACGCCCATGATGACACGTAAATGTCACGATGCGTGTAATACTTTTCATATTATTGATGAATGCGCTGCGTATTATCTTAGATGCAACGTCTAGAGTTCATATGTGTATTTCCAGAAAAAAGAGTGAGTTTCATAATGAAGTTTTTAATTTTTTATACAGTTATACAGGGTGTTTCAGAATAAAGTACCGTAATTTTGGGGATTTGTAGATCTTAATCAATTATAAAGAAAAGCTAAATATAATTTTCCTATAAACGTCCCAGTTTCCATTCTACAGGGTGATAAAGTGAATTTCATAAATACATATTTTCTAAATATATCTTCCCTTACAGTAAAGACTTTAACTTAAAAATATGTACTTATATGATAGGTAATCGTTATTATTAGTTAACACGCTATTTCGATAAATTACCATAACCCATTGACGTAGAATGAAGGGCTAAAGAAACAATTTTATTCAAAACTTTTTGAATACCCTACATTTCATAAAACTTAAGATCAATAAATATTTCTCACGTCATTTGTCACAAAAAAGGGATTTCTGGTTGATCTTTGTAGACTATTTAATTTCCTAAGTGATACAACTGATTTATTTTATACAGAGTGTTTTGAAACATGTCTTAAATATGGGTAATTTTAAGTTCAATTTTGTCAAATGCAACACACTGTACATTATTTTCGCATAAAATTCCTTATTTACCTATCCAACGATACCAACATATGTCCCAATAGTGCGTAATTGATCGACAGCTGTTTTATTATTGGAAATAGGAAAAACAAATTATTATAAAAGTTGTATGACCATGTTTAATAAATATTCCTAAATATACAGGGTGGTCCATAAACGAGGGGCTGACCAAACTTATAGATTTTTATATTTGTTTTCACATTGTCAAACAACTTTAATAGACTTCATTTATTTGCTATGTTTTATATAGGGTGTTTCAAAATGAGGGGTAACAATTTTCTCATTTTTTAAAAGGAATACCCTATATGTCATACCACCAATTAATTAATACATGGTATTCCATTTAAAAAATTGAGAAAATCGTAATCTCACGTTTTGACACACCCTATATACAACATAGCAAATGAATGAAGTCAATTAAAATTGTTTGACGATGTAAAAATAATCACCTGCAGGGTGTTTTGCTTTAAAAAAGTATAGATTTGGTCAGCACCTCGTTTATGGACCACCCTGTATATTTAATAATATTTGTTAAATATGGTCATACAACTTTTATATTAAACATAATAAAACAGCTATCGATCAATTATGCACTGATGTGTTATTGACTAGCACATTGGTATTGTTACATGGGCAAATTTATAGGGAATTTTATGCCAAGATAATATACAGTGTGTTGCGTTTGAAAAAATTGAGTAAATTGAACTTAAAATTAGCCATATTTTAGACATGTTTAAAACACTCTGTATAGAATAAACCAGTTATATCACCTCTATTCGTTAGCTTAGTATTTTATAAGTCTGTATATTAAACAATTTTGAAATTAATATAAACCTATTTAAATTATGATAATTTAATTTGGGGTCTGCAGCATCTCTAATTTAAAAAAAAAATTGTTTGGTATCACTGTAATATTTTTTAAAAACATTCTATGGTTAAATACAGTATTCCCAAGCCATTCTAAAAATAAAATAAAATATAGGGTGTTCTATTTAAAAAATATAAATTTTTATTTGTCAGGCAAAAACGCAACACCCTGTATATCCAAAAAAAAATTAAAATATTTATTTTTCAAATCCATATAACTTTTATTAAAACTTGTTTGCTTGTCAATAACACAAATTGAAATATTGAAAAATCACGAACTAATGGGATCCTGTATATAAATTTTAATTTTCAATTTGTAGGAATATTATTATTTTAGATGACAATGTTTGAGAAATTCTTTGTTTTATTGTATTTATTTTATCTCTCTATTTTTGTTTAATATAACGTTTAAAAAAATATTGATGTTGACTGTGGCTTGGGGGGAGGGGGTAATTACCCTCATTGCCCCCCTTATCTACGCCCTTGACGTGGCGTTTATATGTAATAATTACAACTTTTTGGCCATAAGAAGATTCAGCCATTTAATTCGGTAAAAAGGAACACAAACTTTCCGCCATGTTCAAGTGATATATTTTTTTTAAATGAGTTAAGTACACTTAAACCGTTTAACCTAGATCAAACTGTACGTTTTCAATAACATGCTTTTTCAACCAACTGACAGATGTCGTTAAGACATTAAAAATTACTTGTATCATTTTACCACAAAAAAAAAATAATAGTTTTAAATAACGAAATATGCACTTAACTCATTTAAAAAAAAATTATCAAAAACAAACTTTAAGGGATCTGTTCATATTCCTTATTTTAAATATTTTACATAACATTATTTTTTATGTTATGTACACTTATACACTGACTTGTCTAATAACTTAGATTTGATATGATTGATTGATAGAAAGAAATTATTTTCGATAAAAAAATGCGGAATTTTCTGGAAATTCCAACTGTCATATTTTTAGAGAACTTCCATTAACTTGGTAACTTTTATACAAAATAATTATTTTACTATTTGAATATTCGGTTACGTCATCTAGCGGTCATTATTTAAATAATGTATTATAAATATTTCCTGAGATAGAGTCTAAAAATCCAAGAACCTACAAAAAAAAAAAACTATAAATTAAGGTACAAGAATTAAAACAAAAGAAAGCAGATACCCTGACTTCCTTTGTAAAGTACTAATGCCATTTTTATTGGACCACTCGTTAC